AGAGGGAGAGAGAGAGAGAGAGAGCTCCGGAGGAACGAATCCTTCCTTAGATCCGAATCGATAGCATCTCTCTGAACTCGTCTCTACTTTCACGTCAAAGCAAATATGACGTAACATACACCTGAAGCAGGACGCCAGAATTCCTAAGCCCTCCCCCCCCCTCTTCTTCCAACAATATTCATATCAAATACATGCAATATAAGGCAGAGGTTAATACTTTGTATGTGGCCAATATCAGTTCATCTTTTTAAAAAATTCAATATTTACATGGTGTATACTTATTTAATAGATGACACCTATTATTGGTCACTCGCATGCTTTATTATTTTTTAAAAGTGTTTAACGGTGCACTGAACTGCTTAATGTCATATGAGCGCGCGAGACACATTAACATTTTCAGTTGGCAGGAAAATTTAAATTTTGCCTGTGAGGTGGCCAAAGCCTACTCTTATCGATTTCAGACCACAAGGGATCTTCCAACCAAAAGATCAGGGGTATGGTTGAAAGACAGCAGTAAGAAGGAGCCAAGTAGTAGCAGTAGAAAGGCAGCAAAAAGAGTCCGGAGCCCAGCAGAGGGGGCAAAAGAGGTGTGGGAGCAGGAGCAGAAAGTAGAGACGAAAGCAGACGACAGAACATTGCTAGAGAGCAGGATAGGAGGTGAAAGGAGACAATTTTAGAGAAGAAATTGTTTTCGTTGCTACCCGGATTCGAACCTGGGACTTTATAGAGGCCAATTCCTTAACCTCTAGACCACGAGGGCCCCCAATCACATGCTTCGAAAGGTACTGAAACAACACTTTAAATACAGGCTTAAACTTTTGCACTTTAACTTCACTAATACGAGAATGACATATCTGTGATATAAAAGGTTCACCCTGTGATCAATCCATATCAACATGAAAGTAATAAAGCATTTTTAAAAATATATTTCATCTCTCACATAACTATCTATCAGAGTACCACGCAATTATAAAGTCCTAGACATGACTATGACTTTAGTTCTGTAAATATTATTTAATATTTTGCAAGAATTTAAGGTTTCAAACAAATGTACTCAGAATGACCGACAGAGGGACTGAAGGACGCATCTTCTCATTCTGTAATTTATGGTAATACACTGGTGCTTCAATTATTTCGGTATAAGCCTCTCGGTTTAAGATCTCGTTTTCTTCTTTTGTACCTGGCAAAACATAAACAGTACGCACACCCCAGCTGGCTTTTATTTATAATAAAATGTAATTGTAAGACTTATATCTATTTCAAAAATGATTCTGCGTACATGCATCATGTGTCAATAAAGTGACTCTACTGACTAAAACTTTCTAGTGCTATTATTATAACAGGCCCTATAATAAAGAGAAAGACAGGAAATCAATTGAATTACTGTTTGTTTATAAAAAAGTAAAGAGACAATATATTATATTACACTTTACCACTTACCTTCATTTCCAAGTAATTGAGCTTTTTTCACTGTGAAAAAAGAAAAACAAAAAGGAAACCATTAATTTACAGCAGTACTACATGTTTCGTAAAAGCAATTTTAATGTAAGAGCTAAAAGTGTGCAAAATCATCTTAGAACACACATAAAATGAAAATGAGCATGCTTCTGCTAATCAATAAATATTAATGCACCACACACTGACAATTAGAGGCATAAGACAGAAAAGAAAAAAATACCTTTGGAGCAGAAAAAAAAAATACCACAGCATGATATTCAGAGTCTCAAAACACTCACAAAGAAGAGATATTGAACAGAAAGTAATATATGACAAGACAAAAAAAAAAACATGACATTGTTATCAGACCACAACCCCACCCTCAACCAAACAAAAAAATTCATAAAACCGCACACTGATCATAATAACTCAGTATTGTTTCCTATAATCTGGTTATGACAATTATGCTGATTTGGTCATTGACATTGTCAGTGAGTGGTATTATTTTATGTTTGTGGGATTTCCAAGGGTGAAAAGAGACTCTCAACACTTGCCTTTTTGAGAACTGGTATTGGCCCTGCTATTTGATACACCAAGAATTCTCAGTTTTAGAAAGAGTTTTACGGCACTTGCAACACAATAAGGTACGTGCCGAAGATTAGAGGTGTTACAAAGGAGTAACAAACACAAAAAAGGAGGAGAGATTTAAGACGATAGATGTTTGATAGGAAAGAAGAGGCAAACCACACCAGAGCACCTGCCAACCACCCACCAAAAATTCTCCTGAGAATTAAAAATGCTGAAATCAAGAATGAAGACATCAAGCTTTCCATACCAACAGGCAGAAATGATGCTTTTAAACACTTAAAACAAAACAAACTCTTTTCTGCCAGAACTGGTCTCAATGGCCATAGGAGAAGCCACAGTTCATCCTAATCCTTTTTTATTTTCTATTTTGAAATATTCTCCTCAACAGATGCATTCACCATCGTTAGCCTGATGGATTAACTTTTATTGTAAAACAATGAAAATATAAAAGTACTTCTATGAGGGTCACCATAGTTTTCAGTGATTGACGATTACTTCAAATTTTCTATCAACTACGCTTAGCGTTAGACTCCACTTATTCATAAACACTCGAATTTAAGTTATTAACAGGACAGTTTGAGTTGGAAGTGCAAATTTACCCTTCAAAAGTAGGCAATTGTGCAAGCTCTACTTTTAATAAAATATTTGGTTACTGATGCATGAGACTGATTAGTGTCTTGTTGAGAATCTGGGGCATCTTATTTTTATAGTTTCATATCTACAAGACTGTAACGGCTAAGACTATTGGGAAATTTCAAATCGATTAATCATGGGGATCTTTAATCTGATTTCTAAAAATATGACTCACATATACACAAACAGGAACAGGAACAACAACAGTCTCATTGATTAAAACCTTATATATGCTCCCACGACTCATCAAAACCACCAGTTCAGTTCCAAAGTGAGGTAAATCAAGATAATATGAAGGAACCAAACAGAGATTTTAAGAAGACAGAAGAATGAGCCACAGACAGACATACACAGAGAAAGCTGAAAATCTTTGAGCCATAATACTGACTACCAGGAAATTTTAAACTTGGAAAAGAAAAGCAACATGATGTCTTTATCGCACACAAACACTCACTGACACACATGTACACATACACACACACTCATGCACACACACACACACGTACACACACTCAAATATATAGCCAACATTGGGAATCTGCTGCTCTTATTTATCCTCACCTTCCCCAATTTAGAGGATCTTCTTACAGAATTCTAACAAATGAAAAAAAAATAAAGCACAAAACTGACAGTTTTGGAAGTAACTACTGGAATAATACAGCAGCACCAATGATATGCCAAAATAGATCAAGCGATCAAGCTCAGCTATGACTTTGACACTTTGTTCAAAGGAGGAAAAAAAACCCTTCACTAGAGACAGAGACTAATAAGTACTAGATCTAGATTTAGATTCTAGATTAGAAATCTAATTTAGATCTAGATCTAGATCTAGATCTAGATCTAATCTAGATCTATCATCCCTGAATTGTGTCTGCTTTAAAAAGCTAAGCTAGTGAAATAATAATATACTGAAAATAATTATAAAAGCACAAGGAAAACGATTAGATCTAGATTCTAGATCTAGATCTATCTAAAGAACTCTTCCTGGTTTTGACCCAGCTTTTGATTTTCTCCACAGCATCTCGTTTCCATGATACGGCTTCTACCTATACATCTAAATAAGGGGGATTACTAGGAAAATGTAAACTGCCATCTCCTGCTGCAAACTGGGTGGATTATGTCCGGACTTGGATCTCGGGCCTAATTTCGTTTTCTTTTCTCCAGTATTTTTTAGTAACAATGTTGCGTAACACATTGTCGTCTTTTCTTCCTGAATAACCTCGTAGACATAGATCTAGATGTAGATGTAGATCTATGTGTAGGCCTACGAGAATAAACAAAATAGCCTAGGCCCACCCGAGTTTCATTCATTCGAATGACACTGACGGTGTCCTGTTTTCCTTTTGAATGGGCTTGACTAGACTGTCGAGCGTCTTTTGAGTTAACCCAGTCACTATCAGCACAGAAACAATTTCAGGGGCAAGGGGACTCTGCATTTTATGATTTTACTTTCTGCATACCACATGAACAAAATAATAAAAAGAAGTGTAGGCCTCTACACATTGTCCATACTGAGAAAAATAATAGCCTCTGACAAGATAGCTGTGTGTGTGTCACCACATTCTGATTCATTCTAAACAAAAGCGGGTCTTCTACCGTTGACTCACCGCACACACACAAGAGCGACATAATTTTGCTGCATCAGAAAATGTATACAACAAAAACTGTCATCGGTCGTGCACAACACGCTCATGATATCCAAGTAGGAAAGCTCCGTCCGTATCCATTCCAAAAACTATTATTTTTGTCTACTACGGGTGGCCATCTTGTGACGTTCAACGACTAATCATAACTGCTCATCAATATTCATGATCCTTTGGCCCGATTTCTTGCAACACCTTCAGTCTGGAACTCTTCAGTCTTCGTGTATTGATCCAGGTCGCCACGAGATTTTTGGATGGAACGAAACACAAAAGGCAAAAGAACTAGACTAGATACAAGAAAGTCAGAATGTGAGCATGCACACTCTCCACAACCGAACATCAACACCAGCACTTGTAACCGGTGAACTGCGAGTGTGTGCGGCGCAATCTCGACGTCGCAAGAAGTGCGTGAGAGACAGAATGAGAGGGAGAGAGAGAGAGAGAGAGAGTAAGGGAGGAAAAAGTGGGTATGTTCATTGATCCATTTCCTAGCGCGAGTAGAGATCCAGCGCTCTCTATGTATCGATCCAAACGCAGAAGCTCTGCCATCAAACGCAAAGCTGCGTATTTGTTATGTTTTAGTTTGGGAGGGGTGTAGTGTACTCTGTGAGAATTGTAACCGCACAGGTCTTTTTTGAGGAAAGGGGGGGGGGGGGGGGGGATGCATGAATAGTGGAATTTTAAGCTACCCGAAAGGTG